ATGGCTCTTTATTTAACTAACATAAAAATCCTGTAAGTGAAGGGGGCACCTCGCTGGCTCATTCAGTAAATATGCAACTCCTGGTCTCAGGGTTGTTAAGTTTGAGCCAAACGCTGGGTGCAGAGATTACTTAAAAATAAAATCTTAAAAAAAAATTCCAGTAAGACCCTTCCATTTTATAGATTAAGAGCCAGTTTACGAACATTAGAATAACCTGCCAAGATCATGATGGCTAAACAGTAGGAAACAAAGTGCAAAATTAAGTCTAATTTCCAAGTCCTGTCCCTTTTTACTACATCCTAATGTAGTAAGTGTAGCCTCCTAATGCAGAAACACAGTGTATCTTGTCTTCTGCAAGCATTTGACAAAGCATCTCATGATATCCCGTGAGCAAGAGTGATGTAGCTAGGGCAAAAAAACTAGATTTATAATGCTGAAATAACCATCTTCATTAAAGGCTTTGTGTGCACTAGTTAGTAGCCCATAGCAGTCAAGTCGATCTTAAGCTGTTTTCTGTTTTCATTTTCATAAACAGGTACAACAGTCCACTGTTTCTCACTTAAGAAGATAGACAGTGGCCCATGCATAGTCTGAAAAAAGCCCCACTCTAAGATTCCACACATCTAAAGAAAAATACACCTTGGGTCATGCATCACTGGACTATAATGAGACCTGCTGCATAGCTTTATACTTAGCCCTATGTCCCTTTTTGAGTCTTTATTAATGCCTGATGAGAACAATGAAGACATTCTTTTTTTTTTAATTTTTTTTTATTTATTTATGATAGTCAGAGAGAGAGAGAGAGAGAGAGAGGCGCAGAGACACAGGCAGAGGGAGAAGCAGGCTCCATGCACCGGGAGCCCGATGTGGGATTCGATCCTGGATCTCCAGGATAGTGCCCTGGGCCAAAGGCAGGCGCCAAACCGCTGCGCCACCCAGGGATCCCCAATGAAGACATTCTTAGCAAATCTTCAGGTGACAAAATTAAAACGAGGAGCTGATCCGGACAGTAGGGAATATATCTCCTTCTTCTTTGCATACCCAGAACCCAAACAAGTGCCTGACCCACAGGTCATGTTTCTTGAATCATAAAATCAAGCTTTAAAAGGACAGCAACAGGGATCCCTGGGTGGCACAGTGGTTTAGCGCCTGCCTTTGGCCCAGGGCGCGATCCTGGAGACCCGGGATCGAATCCCACGTCGGGCTTCCGGTGAATGGAGCCTGCTTCTCCCTCTGCCTGTGTCTCTGCCTCTCTCTCTCTCTCTGTGTGACGATAATAAATAAAAATTTAAAAAAAAATAAAAATAAATAAAAATAAAAGGACAGCAACAGGCCTTGACTACAGAGTAAATCTATCAAAACCAACTGTAATGGGTCAAATACATTAGCGACAAAAAAAATTAACCATAAAAATCAAAGAAAAAAGAATTTGAGAGACGTAGTATGTAATGCCTTTTTTTTTTTTTTTGGAAGACAAAGACAGTAAGCCCAATATTAATCAATGTAACAGCTGTCCACAAACTCATAGAATCTCTTCTATTTCAGTGTTGGAAAAGGACTCTCAAGAGACAAGGTGACAGCCTGTGCTTTGCTCAGTTTAAACCACACTTGGAATCATTTCTACAGCTCAAAGAGTCACATTTTAAGGAAAGAGGACAATGATTAAGTAGTGTCTAGAAAAGATGTCAAAATAGTGAAATGATTTAGAATGATGTCATAGGAGATTCCTTTAAAGGAACCAGACCTGTTTACCCAAAAGGCAAGACCAAGGGATGTGATAGCTCTCTTCAACTATCAGAAGGGATGTCCTGTGTGCCCAAGATTCAGAGGACAGAAATGGAACTGGAAACTACAAAGAAACAGATTTTAGATTTATATACAGAAAAGCTTAATGGAAATTAAAATCGTCCAAAATCAAGTGGGCCACCTTAGGACACTGAGTTTTCCACTTTCTATCCCAGTTTATCTCATCTCTAAGAGGAGATGAGACAAAAAGTGCACAATCGCTTGACTGAAATATCAAACAAAAGACTTAAAACAGTGAACCATAAACTACCTTAGGTTCCTCTTGGTCTTCTAAGTCTTTGATATATGATTGCAAGAAAGTGTACTTTGCAAAACACAAAGTAGGTTACAAAGATAGGTAATAGTTTTGCTGACAAAAAAAGAGGGACTCTTCATGTCTTCTGATGCATGATCTCCTCTCCATTTGGAAATTAAAAGCATACATGGTTGTGTTTTATGGATCACAATTCTCTAAAAAAAAATTAAGATGAGATAAACTGATGTAGAAGAAAGAGTAGATACAATGCTGCTTCCACACACTGGTATGCAATAAAATCCTCAATTATGTAATACAGGGCAGCCCTGGTGGCGCAGTGGTTTAGTGCCGCCTTCAGCCCAGGGCATGATCCTGGAGACCTGGGATCGAGCCCTGCGATGGGCTCCCTGCAGGGAGCCTGCTTCTCCGGCTGCCTGTGTCTTGCCTCTCTCTCTCTCTCATGAATAAATAAATAAAAATCTTTAAAAAAAATCTGTAATATAATTCAGATACTGTTTGTGATGAGTCATATAAATATTAAAATCAGGACTGCTATGTTTTTATACTGAAAATCTACCATTAACTCCAACCCCTCCAGTATAAAGTGCAGTGGTTTCTCTCTAACATTGAAAAATCTTTAGCCTACTTTTAGCTTCAAGGGTATCTTTGAAATGTATAGTGAAGGTACAGTTTCTAAGAGAAAGGACTAAATTATCCTAAAAGGAGGAGGGGCTCAATTCCAATGATCCTCTCTTTTATCTTAGATCTGTAGCATAAAGGTAACCACTAAAGGGGTGGTTTACCCATACCCAGAGGCAGTGTGATTGCTCAAAATCTTAAAGTCAGACCTGCGTTCAAATTTCAGCTTGGGCACCATGCATGACTTGTGGCAAAATGAATGCTAGCAAATTACTCAACCAAGCCTGTTTCCTTGCCTGCAAAATGGAGCTAATAAAACTATCTACCTCATAGGCTGTTGTTAGAATTAAATGATAGAAGAAAAGTAAAGCAGTACGGTTAAGAATTCACGAAATGTTAGCTATTATTACTTTACCTAAATGAATTTCTAAATTCCAAATAATCATAGGTATTTACCCTACAAATTTTCTTGATTTCACTACCAACACTCAACAGTAACAACTATTAAAACTGGTAAGTGGGCAGCCCGGCTGGCTTAGCAGTTTAGCGCCTGCCTTCAGCCCAGGGTGAGCCCTGGGATTGACTCCCGCACCGGGCTCCCTGCAGGGAGCCTGCTTCTCCCTCTGCCTGTGTCTCTGCCTCTATCCCTCTCTTGAAAAAAATCTTAAGAAAAAAAAAAAAAAAACCTGGATAAATGCTCTTGTTCAAGGATGTAAGGAAAAAAAAGTTTTCTCACATTCATTTTTTTTCAGATATTATACTTTACGTAAGAGGAGTAAAAACAGGAATAAAAATAGAACATGGAATCAGAGCATCTTTATGAATTCTAGACTCAGTAGTTTAATAATAGCATCAAATATTAAATGTCACAACAATTAGAGGAGATTGTACATTCTGTTAAATAGTGTCAAGGTTCTTACACACTACGCAGTCACTAGTTAAGATCTATTGTGCAATTTGGGCCAGTAATAAAGATGGAGAGCTTACAAGAGAAAAGGTCCTGAGTTTATGGATGCTTGTCCTGACAACCCTATGAGCAACATATTATCATTTTGGCCGTTTTAGCAGATGAAGAAACTGAGGCATAGGTTAATCAAGTCGCCCAAGATCACACAGCCAACGAAATAGACGGGAGATGGGATATGAACCTGGACCATCATGCTCAAAAGTCCACTCGATTTTACTACCTATCACTAAGTTGGTGGAGTCAGATTAGTCAATCACTTACTCGATCGGGTCATAATTAGTCGATCGGTAACTCGGTCGAGTCGGATCAGTCGATCACTTACTTGGGTCAGAGTAGTTGATCACTAACTCGATCGAGTCTGATTAGTCGATCACTTGGTCGGGTCAGATTAGTCAATCACTTACTTGGTCGAGTCACATCAGTCGATCACTTACTTGGAGTCACATGAGCCGATCACTAACTCGATCGAGTCATGTTAGTCCGTCAACTAACCTGGTCGAGTCAGATCAGTCAATCACTAACTCGGTGTAGAGTCCTACTAGTCGATCACTTACTTGACTGAGTCAGATTAGTCGATCACTTACTTTGTTGGGTCAGAGTAGTCGATCCCCTAACTCGGTCGAGTCATATCAGTCGATCACTAACTCAGTCTGGTTGCGTATTTGCCTTCTAACACGTGCAAACTGATGCTCCACCTGCCTCAAAGGCCCGACTTCCCCACGGTCAGAGGCGGCACTCCCCACACGTCACCGGCTCAGCAGGAGGCCGGCCCTGCGCTACGAGCTGCAGGTAAAGCAGGTGAGCGTGGGGACCCACTGCTGGCCGGCGGTCACAGCGCGCCGCCAGGTGCCGGGGGCCGGCCGCCCTCGGGCCCACGCAGGCGGCAGCGAGACCGCGGAACCCGCCACCGGGTCGCCGAGCGGTCGCCTCCAAACCCCCCCCCCCCGCCCCGCCGACGACGGTTTCTGCCCAAGACCAACACGCTCCTCGAGGGCAGGGCAGGACGGAGCGTGCGTGGATGGATACCCGGCCGCCGGTAAGCGCTCAAGTTACAACCACCTAGTTGGCAAAAACCACACGGGCAGCCCAAGTTCCCGATTCCGAAACGACGAGCAAGGGCCGCAGTCGCCGCCGCGGAGCGAAGGCACCTAGGGCCCAAGCGGAAGTGAATCAACGGGGAAAACTAGCCAAGCGGTGGGGGGGGGGGCATTCGGGCGGCCCTGCCCTCCCCTCCCCGGGCCTCGCGTCCCCAGGACGTCCAGCGCCGTCTCACGGAGGCCACCCGAAGGCCGAGGGGACCGCGGCGGAGGGCGGGGGCCCCAGGCTTCACCTGCCGCCCCCGGGGGCCCGCACCTGCAGAGTGGTGATGTGCTTGTCGTTGAACTTGTTCTCGCAGTAGCGCAGCACCAGCGACGTCTTCCCCACGCAGCCTTCCCCCAGCAGCACCACCTTGAAGGAGTAGGCTCTGCCCGCCGCCCCGCCGCCGCCGCCGCCGGCCGCAGCCATCCCGGCTCCCCGCCGCCCGCGCCCCCCCGCCGCCGCCGCCGCCGCCGCCGCGCTGCGCCTTCACAGCCGCGGCCGGCGCAGGCCCCTCCGCGCGGACCCACGCCCGGGCGCCGCCTGTCCCTCCGCCGCGGGCCGGAGTCCGGGAACCAAGGGCCGCGGCCCCCACGTCAGGCCCCGGAGGAGCGCCGACCAGCACTCCCTCTCCGCCTCCCTCTAATGGCGTCTCCTTCCTCCTACGTCACACCTCGCGTCACGTGAGCGCCGCGGACGCGCCTGGGCGGGGCGGGGGCGGGGCTGCGGCGGGGGCGGGGCTGCGGCGGGCGCGGTCCTGCGCGCGGCCCCGAGGGCGGGGCTGGCGGCGGGCGCGGCCCTGCCGGCGGTCCCGGGGGGCGGGGCTGCGGGGCGGCGGGATCGCGGGATCGCGGGAGGCCTAGCACCGCGGGAGCCGGCTGCCGGCGGACGGGGGGGCGCCCGGTGCTCCGCTGCTCGCGCGCCCACGCTCCTCGCCCCGGGCTCGCCGGCGGGCGCACCTGCCCAGGCGCCCTGGGGGCTCCCGCGCCCTCCCGGAGGACCAAGTCACGGCCGTGGAACCGCCCGAGGGGCCCCCGGGCCGTCGGGGCTCCGCCGCATCTCTCAGGTCTTCGCTTAAACCGGATCAGCAGGCCCACCACCCCGCGGCTTCCGTCCCCGCCCCCTGCCCCCCCGCCCCTGCCCCGCCCTGCCCCTCCCCTGCCTCTCCCCTCCCTTGCCCCGCCCTCCCCTCCCTTCCCCTCCCTCCTCTGCCCCTCCCCGGGCCCTCCCCACCCTCCCCTACCGCTCCCCCCGCCCCTGCCCCCTCCCTTCCCTACACCACCCCTCCCCTACCCCCCTCCCCTGCCCCTCCCCCGTCCTCCCCTCCCTCCCCTACTGCTCCCCCGCCCCTACTTCTCCCCCTCCGCTGCTCCTCTCCACCCTCCCCTACCCTCCCCTTCCCCGCCCTCCCCTGCCCCTCCCCCGCTCTCCCCTTCTCTCCCCTGCCCCTCCAGGCCTCTGAGACTCGGAGACACGCCGCCTCCCCTTCTTGAGCAGCACCTGGGGAGACCCCGCACGCACACAGCCCTGGGTTCGCTGCAGTTCGGTTCGGTAAGGACGACGACCGTGTGACACTCGCCCACCTTTGAGTGTCTGAGCCCCAAGTCCCGCGCTCATCAGAGGGCTTCCTAGAAATACTTGGAAGGAAGGAACGACCGGAAGGCCGGGCGTGGGCTCCCGAGTCGCCCCGTGTTTCCACCTGGAGGAACCCGGCCTGGTCGCCTCCGCTCCTTCTAGGAAATGCACTCGTGCAAGCAACCGCAGGGGCGTTTCTGAAATCTTGCACCCTCATACACCCGGGGCCGGTTCAGCAAACGTATTCGTTTTCATCAGACTCCTTTTCCGCTTCAAAGCCATAGTTCATTCATTCATTCATTCATTCATTCATTCATTCATCATTCAACAAGTACTAGAGGGTGCCCACCACCTGCCAGGTGCTGTGCTGAACAAGATACAACGTCTCTGTTACGCGGAGCTTACATTTTAGGGACATCCGGCTGGCTGGGTTGGTAAACGCAAATCTAGATCTGGGGATTGTGGGTTCCAGCCCCATGTAGGGTGTACATATTACTTAAAAATAAAGTTTTTAAAGTTTACATTTTATTTTTACAGATTTTATTTATCCATGAGAGACACACAGAGAGGCCGAGACACAGGCAGAAGGAGAAGCAGGCTCCATGCGGGGAGCCAGATGGGGGGATTCGATCCTAGGACCCCGGGGTCACACCCTGGGCCGAAGGCAGACTCTCCACCGCTGAGCCACCCCGGGCTGCCCTAAATCTTACATTTTAGCAGGGAAACACAGAAACACCCCAGTGCACAGTGAATGCTTTCATGTTGATAAACCAGTTGAGAGTGTCTTGCAGAGGTGCATCAGGACCCAACGGCTTTTGCCTGCTGGAGAAGCTGTCCCAGAGATTGTTGCCTTTGGTTAGGAGTAACCTAAGCCCAAGGGAGGGGAGCTTTGCAAGTAGAGAGAGCAGTAGGAGATCCCGGGGTGCTCAGCAGTTTACTGCCTGCCTTCAGCCCAGGGCATGATCCTGTGGACCTGGGATAGAGTCCCACATCGGGACTCTATCCCGGAGCATGGAGCCTGCTTCTCCCTCGGCCTGTGTCTCTGTCTCTCTCTCTGTCTCTCATGAATAAATGAATAAAATCTTAAAAAAATACTGGGATTTGAGAAATGCTTTTGGACATATGGGTTTTTGTTAAATAGAATTATCAAAGCATTTTCCATGTTGAGCATCTAATAAGAGTAATTAACAATAGAAAGGAAAAGAGTTATCATCTGTGAACTCGCTACAAATTAAACCCATTTGTGGGCACCTGGGTGACTCAATCAGGCCAGTAACCCTTGATTTCGGTTCAGCTCATCTCCTAGGATCATAAGATTGAGCCCCCTGTGGGCTCCGTGCTCAGCAGGAAATCTGCTCTACCCTCCCCTTAAATAAATAAATAAATATTTTAAAAAACCAAAATGCTAAACCTATTTGTTCCCTTATTTGCTCAGTCATTGAGCATCCTTGGTGGAGTGCCGGGCAAGAGGCCTCTGCCTTCGTGGGCTTGTATTTTAGTGTGGGAAGCAACACGGAAACAATTACAATAATGTGTAGTGGCCACGTGTGATGCCAACCCGGCGTCCACACCCCCCTTCCGCTTTCAATCAGAATCGGGTGGTTGCTCAAGTGTCCACTACTCTTGTGCAGCCCGTGTGCCCCTACCTTCAACTTGGCTCTCTTCCCATTTCTCTGAGGTTCTTTTCCAGGGATTAGAAGAGACCATGTAATCTCAACAGGTCAGAGGCTTCTGGCTGGCCAGCAGTCCTGAGCTGCCATTGTAAGTGCTGGCCACAAAGGGGCACAAGCAGCTCAGTGAACATTCACCAGGGTGTCCAGAGCATGCTCAACACTAACTCACAAGTGCCTCCACATGAAAAAGAAAGAAACCACTGGGAGGTTTTCTTCTGAGTTATAGAAAACAAGAATATTCCAAGAGATGTGTGGTCCGGGGGAAGGGAAGAAGGGATAGTTTCTAAAGCTATTTATCGCTAAGATGACAAGATTAATTAAAGGTGTCTCAAAAAAAAAAGTCTCTAGAAACTGTACATATTTTTGTCAAAGAAGGAATTTAAACCAAACTTTCAGATTCTCAGAACTTACCAGTTTCTTTCTTTCGTTCTTTTTTTAACATTTTATTTATTTATTCGTGAGAGACACAGAGAAAGAGAGGCAGAGACACAGGCAGAGGGAGAGGCAGGCTCCCCAGGACCCCGCCCTGGGCTGAAGGCCACACTAAACTGCTGAGCCACCCGGGCTGCCCAGAACTTACCAGTTTCTACTAAAAATACACAATCTTAATAGTTAAAAATTGAGGACATGAAGCCACTTTGTTTACTTGTGGATTTTATATTTACATTTATAAATTGTATTTTGCAATAACCAGAGCGTGAATTTGTATCAGATGGAAATGTGTGTTTGACATGATTGGCACTAGAACTGTATACCAGCAATTTCTAAATGACGGAACAGGTTCAGGTCAGAATGTTAGCAGTCTCATTGAGTGAGGCCCCCATGCTTACTTCTTAAAACTAGACGTCAGTAGTTATACGGAGGTGAAAATTCCAAAGAGATTTGTCCACTTAAACTAGGCCTGAGTGACTAATACTTTTCCAGTTTCTTGAGAAATAAGCCAGTATACTGATGAAAAAGCCTCTTAGGAGAGAAATTGTTTTGCCCTGGTGAAATAATTTGATTGAGAACTCTTAAGATGGGAGATTTGCGATTTTGGAGAGTTTTTCAGTAACTGTGGATGCTCCAATGGGAAGTTTCTGAGTACATATATACTAAGGATTATAGCATTCAGTACCACTTGCTTGAGTGTTTTCTCCTATTGGCCACACTCCTGCTTGGTAAGGTGTCATTTAAAATCTTACCATTTCTCTATAGCACTTTCTAAGTACTTCCTTTTTTCTTTTTTTTAAAGATTTTATTTATTTATTCATGAGAGACAATGAGAGAGAGACAGAGACACAGGCAGAGGGAGTAGCAGACTCCATGCAAGGAGCCTGATGTGGGACTCGATCCCGGATCCTGGGATCACGCCCTGAGATGCACAACCGCTGAGCTACCCAGGTGTCCCTCTAAGTACTTCCTACATGTATCATCAACTATTACAATTACATATTTGTTTCTCAGTATTAAAGCTGGAAGCCCTGCGGTAGTAAAGATCTGTCTGCCTTGCTCACCATTCATTATATCCTGTGTCCAGAATAACGCCTAGAACATGGTAGATGTGAAATAAATGACCACCCCTCCAAATACCAACTCTCTTATGCCTTGATTTTCAATAAATCTTTTTTTCTTTTGTACAAACCTCTATTCTTTGAGCCTCCATCTGCTGTCAGCCCCCAACCCTATTTGCATAAATGTCCCTCCCTTGAATCATTTAGACTAAATTCCAATCTTGAGTGTGAAAGGTGAAGCTAACTCCATGAGGGTGGACAAAGAACAGCTGCTGAAGAAAGAACATTTACACGGGAGCTGTAATGGGGGCAATTCACCCCCATCCTGAGTCCATCTCTCAGCCTTCTCTTGGTCTCTCTCTCTATCCCCCCTACTTCTAGCTCCCTCACCCCTACCTTCCATCACCACCAGGTTTGGAATCCATATTGAGCATCTACAACACTCTTCTTTTACCAGCATCCGTTATTGTCTTATATCCTTATATTTCCACAGCATCATCACAGAACACCAACCTTCAAGTAAACTTCTGAAAAAGTTCTCTGAATTTTTGTAGATTCAGAGTCATCAGATTCGTTCTCAGGACACCCTGTAAGTTCCTTTTCTTTGCTGGCTTCAGCTTCCTTCCCTACCTTTTGATCACTATTAAACCTCCCGCAGTCTACTTCTGGTCCTACTTTGTGTTGTTCATAGTATTTCCTTATGAGCCTTT